ATTCTTCAGCAAAACAAAACAAAAATAAATAAATAAAATGAAAAATAAATAAAACCCTGTGAGTGTATTGCCATGCCCCTACTGACCTCCTGTTGAAGAGATTTGCCAGCACAACTCAAATCATGGATTTTTTTCACTCTAAAAAATTATAATATAAATAAATAAAAATATTAAAATAAAAAAAGAACCACTGACCTCCTGTGAGTGGTGCACACTCTGTTTCTGTGCAGTGGCCAGGTTCATCTTGGACACCCTGAGTTGACCATCCTTCTCAGCCAGGTCTTCCTTCAGTGTGCGCAGCTTCTGCTGCAGGCTCTCTACCTGTGCCTCCAAGGTGGAGATCTGGCTGTCTTTCTCCTTCATCTAATACACAATGAGATAACAGAGTTTTTTTTATATTTATTTGTGCTTTGTTGATACATGTCAAAAGAGATGAGAGTAGATGGTTAACTGTCTGTACTATGTATCAATATGAAATATAAATATAAAAATCAACAAAGTAATACCCACTCAAGTTTCTGTAGTTCAGAACTGACAATAAAAAATACTTATAAATCAATATTTTTAGGATTCTACAAGTTAAAATGACAGATGAAAAAAAGGTGTGTTGCATCATATGCTATAGTTGACCTCCTTGTTGACCCACTCACCTTGTTGAGACAGTCCTTGTTCTGTTTCTGTGCGGCCTCCAGCTCATCCTGCAGTTCTGCAATCATCTTCTTGCACTGCTGGAGCTGCTTGTTGCTGTCTTGTTGTCTGCCTCGCTCTGCCTTCAGCTCTGCCTGCAGCTGGCTCAGCACTCCGTCTTGCTGCTCTATCTGAATATAATAATAATAATAATAATAATTGTACAGTTGTAGCGCACATGCACCTCAGTGCTACTTAAAACCAGTTAGATATTAAGCACCTGTAGACAGGCAGTTTGAATTTGAAAGAAAGAAAGAAAAAAACTAACCAAAAAAAAAAATAAATAAAATAAATAAATAATAAAACTCATTAATCAATCAATCAATAATAATAATAATAATAATAATAATAATAATAATAATAATAATAATAATAATAATAAATTTAATTTAAAAGGAAAGAAAATACCATCACCTGTTCGCCCAGCATCCTCTCCTGCTCCCTAGCGCCCTCTAGCTCAACTCTGTATTTATCCGCGTGCTGTTTGTAAGACAGCCCCTCCTGCGCTATCCTGTGATGTTCCTCCTTAGCACCTATCAAATCTTTGCGAAGCTTCTCAATAATTTGCCTCTGTTCCTCAATTTCTTCCTCATAACTTTGATTTCTTTCTCGTAGAGTCTTTGTCTCTGTCTGATATTTACGTATAGTCTGCTCGTGTCGGACGACTTCCGACACCCGACTACTGAGCTGCTCCTGAGTTTGTTGTAGGCTTTGCTCCATCAGCATTAATTTTTCTTCGTGGTGTGCAAGCTGTAAAAAAGAATCATTATAAAAAGGATTAAACTAACAAAAAATCCCTGGAAACTGGGCACTAGCAACAGCCAATGAAACATGTTGTATGTCAAAATAACATAATTCAATCTACTAAATATAAATACAAAACTGTTCCAGATCACCATCTCTTTCACTCAATTGATAAATCTATTGATTCAACATAATTTCAATGTTTTATTTTCCCTTTCAGATGCAAGCAATGTTTCACAAAGGAGGGGGAAAATAATGTATTTGTTTATAAAATGACATTTGAAAAAAAATCAGTGTGCCAATCTTCTAAAACTGGCTAAAAGCCTTCTGAAGCATCATAGTGAAAAATAAAAAAATTAAAATCTTGTCACAGCAGTGTTCTTAATATAAAAAATTAAACCTGGCATGGCCACTTCTAATCATTAATTCTCCACATAGGAAAAGTGCAAATTGAACGCAGACTTCAAATCAAAACAGATATCTGTAAAAATTGGTACCACTGCAGCAATGATAATATTGCAATCGAACACTGACAATTTCCCACCTACCACAATCTACACTGTTGTATGTCTGAAATATGGCAATATGTTCATTTTGACCCTTTGTCTCAAATGATAAGAAAGACTGTTCTCTGTGAACCAAAAACCTTATGTTTTATTATTTCAAAATAAATTATTTTAAAAGAAAATACACAAAATTTCTCCAATTGATCAATTAAGATAGTCAAAACACATTTAACCTGGTCTGCTGGACAGCCTTTTAAAAAGTTGCTTTGATTAAAGGACAATGAAATATGTCCCAGCAGATTCTTAGACCTGGGTGTTTTGTTGGACCGATAAGGGGAAAAAATAGCTTCAGACTGTACCCCTCCCCTCTGCTACTCACATCCTGAGCACAGTCTCTATACTGTGTCCTAGCCTCTGTCAGGTCCTGTCTTAGACCACCCACTTCAGCCTGCAGGTCTGCATTCTGGAATACAACACAGAAATAAAGTATAAAACTTCATTTAAAAAAAAAAATAAAAAGATTTCATATTAGCGCTTCTCATTGCTGTCGAAGAAAATTATGATGGGGCATTTTAAAGCATAAATTGTGTACAAATTTTGCATGGCAATGTTCCTTTGTAAAAATAAATAAAATAAATGAAATAATAAATAACTCTCCTATAATATTGGGAATTTTCACTCAGTTAAAACTACCTTCAGACCTTTTTACAGTTCTTGAGCTATTATGAACCAGTGAACATGAAATGTGACAGATCACATATGATTGTTTCTTCTATGCATCTGTATACATATGGACTAAAACAAACAAATGAACCAAGAAAACTACATATATAACTAAACAACCAGCTACTTACAGAGCTTTCCATAGATCTATTGTGTCCCTGGAGGTTAGCCAGTTCTGTCTTCAAATCTCTGACTGTGGACTCTAGATGGTCAATCTGGAATTGGGATAAATGAAAGTTAATAAAATGCATTGAAATACAATAATCCAATGGAAATAAATAAACAAGAATTAAGAAATAAAAATTCAAAATTATTAGTAGGAGATGCTGATACCCAAAACAAAACAACCAATCTTATTCAACCTTAATCATGTTTGGAAATTATGCTCCATTCTAACCCTGATTTATACCTTCCTAATATGATAAATATAATGAACTTATAGAATCAAAAACCAGAAACCCTCTCTCTCTCTCTCTTTCTCTCTCACAGCATACATCCACACACAAATGCACACACACACACACACACACACACACACACACACAAATAGCATACACGCACAAAAATAACATGCATACACCCAAGTAACACACGCACACATATTTAACACCCCCTCCCTGTCCCCAATCACTGACCTCACTGGCCTTGACATTGATCTCCTCCTTGGAGGACTTGATGTCCAGCTCATTCCTCTTGTTGGTCTCCTCCCTCCTGGACAACTCCTGCTCCAGCCTGGAAGGATAATCAGGATTATAATATACATTGGTTACAATATACTGGCAATTATTAGAGGGGGTAAAACGATTTGACTTTCTACCATTACCATCTAACATAAAATATCATCAACATCTTTTCTTTCTTTCTTGATACATGCATGGCCTTTTCCTCAGAAGTGCTTCATGACCTGTCTGAAACTGATTTCAGTTATAATACCCAATAATAAAATGTTCATATACTATAATCAATTTTTTTACTTCCATTTATTTCTTGAATATATTTTTATTATTGTTTTATTGTTCTTGACCTGAACATAATTAATGATAACTGCACATACACCTGAAATTGTTAATATGGCCAAAGTAGAGCACAGAAAGGGACAAGCATCCCACCTATACATACCTGAGTACCTGCTGCTTGGCCTGTGACAGCTGTGTCTCCAGTGTCTGGACGGCATCCTCCATCTTGGTGCTCTCGGCCTTGTGTCTCTGCTGGGCTGTGGCCAGGTTCAGCTGGAGCTGCTGGATACTCTGCTCAAGACGGGCAATCTGGATGAGAAAAAAAAGGAGCCTTCAGTTTATTTTACAAATTAAACCAAAACATGGTTATACATTATACTAAAAACCAAAATGCTACTTGCAAATCTCAATTTTCATGAGCAAAGAATTATATTTGTTACATAATATTTGCTTGTCAATAGTCCTGTGGTTGCAAAAAAATTCCTGAATGTATATTTCAAATACACCCAGATTATGAATTTCACAGTTAAGTTTAAAAAACAATTAATACTGATATATCATTAGATCATAAATGTTCTTTGAGGTAGTCGGGTTCAATATTCTGTATTATGTTCCATAGACCAACCTCCTTCTGTGCACTGTTCTTCTGTTCTTTGAGTCCTGCCAGTTCAATCTTCAGCTCGTTCATGTTGTCCTGCATCTCCGCATTGTGCCTCATCTTCTGCTGCAGGTCGCTGCGCGTCTCCTCGTTATCGTACTCCAGTTGGCGAACCTGATCCACTTTACTGTTGTACTGAAATAATACAAATTACAGTCAATATCACATATCAAACTTTGTCGAATCTGGTTCACTTTACTGTTACATTGAAATAACAGAAAACTACTGTCAATATTACATACCAAACTCTCTATAAGGGCAACAAGGGTAGCACTCGTTAGCTTTGCAATACTTTATTTACTTGGACAACCACCCACTTTATTCTGGGTCAAAACTGTCTAAGATTTAAGTCTTAAAATTAACATCAATTTGATTTATATACACCAGATGCCAAAAGGCCACTGACCTCATCATTGGAGTGAAGGTGCGAGTCTTGGTAAGCCATCAGCTCTGCCTGGATCCGCCGCACTTTCTCCTCCTGCTGAGACGCCTCCACCGTCTTCTCGTTCATCATCTCCTTCAGGCTCCCGATGGTTTGCTCACAGCGCGTCACCTTATCCAGGGCACCTGACAGCTCGTCTTGGGAGTTATTGAGTTCCTGTGTGAGCTGTTCGATCACTTCCTCGCAGTGGGCCAGCTCGCCATTCTTTTCGTCCAATTTCTGCTCAAGGTTTTCCAAGTCCATTTTTAGTTTTTCTGCCTCGTCGCCTTTTTCCATTTCCTAAAATTAATGATCATATCAAAATGATGAGTACTGTCATTATGAACAGGCGTAATACCACAAAGTACTCTACCACACCAGATGCAGCACCTAAAAGTAAATGAAGTATCTTACAAGCCAATTATCTTAGTAAAAAAAGCAGACCAAGGCAACAGTCATATGTAAATCAAAACCAAACCATTGACATTTTAACTGAACACATATTACCAGTTGTAATATTGAGTAAACCATACTGGTTTGACTGCAAGAGATGAACATCCACACACAACATACCACAAAAAGAGAACCTATATTTGATTTCCTTGATTTTTTCTTAAGTTACACATGAACAATCACTAACACCTCAGTGCCCTGCTGTGCAACAGGCATATCCTTTAAAACAATTAAAACTAAAACACTTGAACAATGTCAATGAGCACGAGGGTATCAAACAACAGAGGTAATGAACTATGACTATGTCACTGTGGTGTCCCAGTGGTGCTCCTAGAATCTGCACATGGTGTGGTAGAGTACTTACCCTGTTCCTGCTCTCTGCCAGTTTCTCCTGCAGAGTCCTAATGGTGCCTTCCAAGTGCTGCACCTGGTTCATGCACTGCTGGTACTTCTGCTTGTAGTTGTTGAGGTTGGCCTCCAGCTTCTCCGTCTGCTGTTTGCCTTCCTCCACCTGGTCATCTAGCACCACGATCTGCTGCCTGGCCTCGGACAGACTGGTGTCCTGCTGCTTCATGGTGGTCAGCTGTTTACGGATCTGAGCAGACAAAATACTTCAATTAAATTACAATTTGCATGTGCATTTGTGCGTGTGAGTGCATGAGCATGCAAGCATGGCCGCGCCTCGTCAAGCTTGATTTTTTAAAGCAAAACTTTTAAATACAAAACTGTATTTCATGAGGTGCCAATCTTTACAAAATAAACAAATAAACAGTTACTGATTAAAAGAGACCACTGCTCATACCAATACCATTTAACAAATGTCAAAAAAGACTACATAACATCATTTAATTTGGACAGAATTATGATATTCATGTACTCAGGAAAATCATAAACCCCCTGGTCTCAACATCCAAGATTTCCCCACATCCCTCTCCGCATACCAACCTCTTCCTGAGATTCATCATAGGCTTTCTTCAGCTCCTCCAGTTCCTCGGTGAGGCCCAGGATGGTGGTCTTACTCTGCGTGTTCAGACCTGCCATTTCTTCCAGCTCGGCTCGGGTCTGTTCTACCGTCTCCTGCAGGATGACCACGTCTTGCTTGTACCGGTTGACCTCCTCCTGGTGCAGAGAGCGCGCCATGTTGAAGTCGGACTTCTGCTGGTCAATGGACCTGATATGGTTCTTGACCTGTGGAGAGGAGGAAGGGGGTTATGTTTACACAAATATGTAGTTTATACAATTTAAATGAAAATGATCAACAGAGCTGTTTCAAATTCTGAAACAATGAAGTAAAATCTCCAAAAACTCTAAGCTTAATTTTGATCTCTCTCTCTCTCGGCAATACTTTATATCAAGTTACACAAAATATTTAAAGCATTTTTAATAAGTTCATATTCATGAGATAAGAAAAAGTTCACCTCTTGTTCTGATAACTGTTGAAGGTTCAATAATTCTTGGATTTTCTTCTGATCTGCAGTGGTCTAAAATGAACATCATAATTATAGTATAATGATATCATATGGTATCAAAGACTGCATCAATCATGTGTTAATATAACAGAGTGTACAGCACAGATTAACTAACTAGACTTAAATTATTGCTGTATGTGTGGGTAGTTGTCTCCTTGCTGACGTGTCCATCTGACCATTACACTTTTCATAGAATTAATGTTAAAATAACTTTCAACCTGATGAGTACATATTCAATCTTAAATTGTTGAAAAACATAATTGTATGTAAAAACCATATACATCATTTTGACAGCTAGAAGACAGAAAATATATAAAGAAATATCCCAATCAACACGTCTGTTCATTCATTTCAGATCAATTGTACCAAGTAATTGTACCAAGTGAATGGCAGACAAATTAACTTTTCACTTTTATATCAAAAACATTAAATCCCTTTTTTTGTACACAAATAAAATACAACATGCATGATGGTGTGTGGGTACAGGTGATTTCACCAGAAACAGAAATAGATAAAAAAAATTCAACTCAAGGCAATATAAAGCCAAAAGTAATGTAGTGAGAAGACAACCCAAGGTGACATGAAAGCAAAGAATCCGGCTACAGCAAGCAGACTTTCCAGCAACCCTGATTAAAAAAAGTAAAGGAAAAAAATGATATAATTATTAACCTCATTTTTCTGATTATATCAGCAACCAATTTTTTTTTTTTTGCTACTGCCATGACAGCATATATTCACCATTCATTGTAAGCCACCAATATTCTATTCTATAAAAACAAAGATTATTTTTCATTTCAATCCTCTGCCACCAGATAAACCATAACCAATCATGGCAATTTTGGAAAGATCAGCAGTTGCTCAATTTGCTATGGGCATACTAATTAACAAACCACTAGAATCATGCACCAGCAAATACACAGCTTTATAAGATACCCTAGGCCTACAACAGAAAGAGGTGGGGGGGGGGGGTAGTGAAGACCAAAAAAGGGTGGTGGTCCATACCTTATCAACACCAAGAAATAGGAACAGTGCTCGCATAAAGAGGGGTGATGATACAGTATTACCAAGGAAACATTTTTCAAAAAGAATTACCATTTATTTTATTAAAAAATTAATTTATTATATCAGAAAAAAAGTGCCGCAAATGATTACAGAAAAAAAAAATATATATATATATATCTAAACATATTTTGTATTTTATTGAAAAGCTGTCGAAAACAAATTCTTTCTGAAATGTGGGGCGTGAACACAAGGTATACAGTGAAGTACCAGGCAATGGGTCCTATTCAAACCATACCATATCATACCATACCATTACATGTGAAGCATACCATGTGAAACATGCCATGTGAAGCATGCCATGTGAAGCATACCACAGGGTGCTACACAAGCTGTGAACACATTCCAAGCATGAATCCCAAAAAGAACACTAAAAAGTATCCTTACACTGAATTCAGATACATGATAGCAGTAAAAGTGTCTATTTACAAAAGTGCTGGCATTCCTTTATCGAAGACAGACCTGAAGAGACAAGAGACACTCTTATGGCTTACTCTCAACGCAACTATCGTTTTACACAGACTGATTTAACTCTGCGGGGACTCTCGCTGAATGCAATCAGGTTAACAGATTAACCAGCCTCTTTCTGGCACTGAGTAGAATACAGAAACCTGGTGATTATATGAGTTTTTTAGAAACATGAGGAGTAGAGACATGTTTATCTGATTGCATTTAGCGAGAGTTCTTGCGGAGTTGGATCGATCTATGTAGAACGATGATTTCATTGGAAATGAGCCTTTAGGACAACATGAAACCACTGTGACAATATCTAACATTTCAATGGTCGTTCACATCTTAT